TCAGTGTTCAGAAGATTTTTCTATCCTTAAATGATACCAGTAATTAAGTATAGTTTATGTGAGCTTAAGATTGTGTCTAAACGTATGAAAAGAAGAAAACGAGAGTGAATATTGGCAAATTTTGCCAATATTATGAAAATAGTGATGAAGTTAGAGACTTTTTTCTCGTTAACACAGACCGTTTGTGGCTATTCATGAATTTAATGAAAAGAATAGCAATTAATATACTATTGGAATCTGTTCTGTGATTATTCGATAATTATAAGAAAACCTTGGTGATTTGAACCAGTGCTCTATGATTCGAAGAGACACCAGAGCTATTTGTTGTGCATAGGTAACTATTAGAATGTCTTGAAAAATTGCGAAGACAAGCAGATTAGCAACACCTCAACAATACTCTTCACAACTCTAAACGATCGAAGTGATTCGCGCCTTGAAGCCTTACGTATTTGCTATAAAGACACCATTGTGATTCCACTAAGGGGTGCTTTCTATGTCAAATCTTTGTATCTCGGCAGTTTTTAAAAGCATAATAAAAGCCATGTATATTCAAAGAGAGACAACACTGTCTTTTGAAACGATAGAGGATATATATGCCATCTGGAAGATAAACTATCAATTGGCACTTTGCACCCCCTTTCCCATGCACTTTTATTTAAGACCGAGTTAATATGCAAAAACAGCAATTTTCAAAATACGTGTAATTCGAAACCGAACTAAATATCCCCTTTATTTTTTCATCAGATCAGTATAACAAAACAATAAATAAGCAACATTCGCAATCGAAGAACAGTCAGCTTAAACAGTCAGACAAAAAAGAAATGGTAAGCAACACCAAATTATGCTTGTTCTTTTTGATGATGGTCTATCTCATCAACTACAGTAAGTAACGATAATTGAATAGAATCTAAACGAATTTAGCTCAATTATTGGTAATTAGGTGAAGCTAGGACCTATCCATTGTGGAAAGTATTCTGTAGTGGTGTACCACTCTACCGAGGTCGCGTTGATTCGATCATTAATCCTGGTACTGTGTCCGGACATGTGCACAAGGTGATGGGTGGAAATCATTTTAGTGCTGGAGTGAAAAATCAGTCCGAACTCGAATTGTACGAAGTGACAAAGTCGGCCAGTTGTACGACATGTTCGATTCACACTGTCGATAATAGCAACTATTGGCATCCAGATTTGTGAGTTGAATCGATTGAAATTCTTTTTTGCCCAAAATATTCATCTGATTTGAAAGCATTATTGTTGAGTTGGTAGCCTCAATTTTTACATCGATTACTGTCTGTCTTCGATATTCAATGAACTCACCATGAAAAAAAAGGAAGTCAGTTTTACTCTTTTCGTAGTATAATATAACAGATCGTCTTGGTACTCTTATGACCATTCAGTCGATACGAGCGTTCCACTATCCTTGCTTAGTATCGAATATTAGGAAATGTAGATATGAGCGATTGAAAATTTGATCAAAATTCATTGTAATTGTCGACAGAAGATCCACAGTGAATGACTTGAAGACTGTATTTTATAAAAATGACGGTAGAATGAGACTTAGATAACATAATATTTTATTTACATTAGATACTATCGTTGGCCTAATGGAACATTCTCGCTTGTACCTAACGGTGGTCTCACGGTGTATTATATTGCTCGGACTGGCATCAATGGAGGTCCGCAACATGCCAATCCTAATTGGCAGCCATTTCCCAAAGGTCTCCGCATGGTTGCCGGTAATCCATTTCGACGACATTTCAATCAATCGATTGTCGAACATCATGCCATCTCGTTCGTTTGGTGAGTTGACAAAACATCAGAGGAATTGTTTTTCATTTTCGATGTTTGCATTTGGAACTTAGATTTTGAATCATTCTCAAGCTTTTTTTTCACACTCATTTACTTGAAATTGATATGATTTGTGTTGATCTATCAGACTTTTAAGAAGGTCGAATATGTATTGATAAATTCTAGAGAATTCAGCGAGTTTCTAAAGATAATGAAAATATTTTTAAAACTTCGGTACTATTGAACCATGAGGAGAATCATTAAAAGCAAATTTGAACGTGGTAGATATGATCTATAGATGACTATTCTTATCTTTCATTTATTTAAATACTTAAAAATAGTTTGACGGATTTCGGCATGCCATCTGCGCCTGAAACAAATGGATTTCAAACCGATCGATACTTTTGTAAGAATGGTTTTCGTATGCAAGTCTTCTTTCCCATGTGTTGGAACAACAAAACTTTGGATTCACCGGATCATCGCAGTCACATGGCATATCCAACCTCCTATAATGGGGGTGATTGTCCACCATCACATCCTGTTCGTCTGCCGGGAATCTTCTATGAAGCATTCTACTCGGTAGACCAATTTCCACATGGACAAGGTACACAGCCATTTGTTCTATCCAGTGGGGATCCAACGGGCTACGGTTTTCATGGAGACTTTGTAAGTTCATTACTTATATCTTATTCCTTATTTGATCCTTTTGTGAAGATTCATGGTTCGCCTATTTTATTTTAAAAAAAGTTGAAAAGAACATTGAAGAATATTGGGTTATCCTATAGATAATAAGATTGCCACTTTTTCTTCATTGTGAAATCGATCCTAGTATTGAAAACAGCATCTATACAATTGTATTTATCCTGTAGGTAAATGCATGGGACACGGACGTACTCAAAGCAGTGCTTGCTGATGATTCGTGTAATGCAGAGAACACCAATAATGGAAACAACCCTGAAAGATGTTTACCCCTGAAATCGTTTGTCAAGGCACGAGTCGATGATGATTGTGAACTGGCCAGACCGATTCCACTGACTGAGAACATTGGAATGGTCGCACCTATTGATCGTTTACCTGGATGTAATCCAATTACTTATTCAAATGCCGCCATGTGTTCGCAAGGAGCCGAACCTAGTAGCATGAACAATGAAGGAACATTTCATATTCAGTCCAAGATTACCGGTGGTCATCTTACATTTGATAGTGCCACCGAGCGAGTGTTTGCCAATGGTTCCACAATCAATCCTACCTATCGTCAAGTGTGGGGTAACGGTTGGGCTCCTCGAATTCAGGGACGCACAGTGCGAAATGTGGAAATCAACAAGCATTTGACTATGCAGGACATACTCAAAGTCAAAGGTGTTGTTATTGATGCTTGGGAAATTTTTTCATTTGAGAAGCAAGTGGATAGTGAATATGTGGCCATCAAGAACTCTCGATACGGCAAATATCTGAAAGTTGAAGCAGATTTTACCATCAGCGGTCAAGCAACATCTATTACTGATGCTTGTCTCTTCAAGCTTGTTACACCCAATGGAGGCTTTGTTCCCGAAGGCATTAGGCTTGCTGATCTTCAGTAATTCACTCCTATGATTGCTTGATATAATAAGCTTGGATTTTTCGTTAAATAAAACTAAAACAATTATGTTTCTTACATCTTCTCAATTCTATACATATAGTGGAAGCTTTCATGAGATGAAATTTTGTCAGATGTCTTGAGAATGTGGAGGTGGGTAAGAAGAATATATATGCTGAATATCTCGCTACTATTGAATAAAGCTAAGATAATGTAAAAAGAAAAATACAACCGATACTTAGGTAATATCGAGATACATCTACAAGAAAAATCACATTAACATGGTATGAAGAAAATTTCATGCATTATATAAATAATTACCAACGGCAACTAAAAGTTCTGATCTCAATGCTTTGAATTATTACTTGTGCAATGATGCTATTACCAAAAATATTCTATGAAATAAAGTTTAAAATAATGATTTTTTAATTAATGAAATAAGAAAACGAAACCATCGTGTAACAAAAAATAATCTTGTTCATAACATCGAACATGTTGCACAAAGATTTTTCATTCATTTTAAAAGCAAAAAGTACCTATCATACGACATATTCTGATAATTCACTATGGTTCACTTGTTAGATAAATATGAAGAAGTAGAAAATTTTTCTCAATACATGCATTATTTCACTTACACTTGTATAATTATTGTTTACCACCTAGTTTAATATTAAATAATTCATTAAGAACAATTTTCAAGTTTAACCATAAACACTAATACTTGTATTAAGCTAATTTTTTTTATTACATAAAAAAAAAATTTCAATGAAAAATTACTTTTAGCTCAAAAAAAAAAGAAACTAAATGCTTTATTTAGGTATTTTGTTGTTTTGGAATGATCGATTCGTGAATAAATTTTTTTCTTCCTTCAGTGAAATCAGCAGCGATATCACCATGACCTTGAACAAGCCATTTTGTTGTTAATAAACCTTCAACACCTACAGGACCTCGAGCATGAATACGTCCTGTACTTATACCAACTTCAGCACCTATTTATTAATCAATGGTTTTCATTTTAATTATTCTCAAATATATATATTTCTTTTCTTACCTAAACCAAATCTATAACCATCAGAAAATCTTGTACTAACATTATGAAAAACACATGCACTATCAATATTAGCAAGGAATTCATTAGCTGAATTTTCTAAAATAGAAAATCCTTAGTATTCTTATATTAATTATGTAATTAAATAGTTACGATTTTCTGTTACAATCGAATCTGTATGATTTGAACTAAATTTATTAATATGTTCAATAGCATCATGAACATCATCTACTACTTCAATACAACATTGTAAATCTCCGTATTCAAGACGTAATGAATTTGCTGGCGGTGGTGGAAATGGAAGTAATGCAGAAAGACGTGGACCCGAATAAACTTTAACCTGAACATAAAAAAAAAATAAAAAAATAAAAATCCTCAGTTCGTTGATGAATTACTAATTCACCTTTTCAGCACGAAATAAATCAATGAGTGATTCAAAAAATGATGTTCGAACAACATCTTTATGTACAAGTAATGTTTCCATAGCATTACATGCACTTGGATAATCACATTTTGAATCTCGAACTATGATATCGAAAAAAAAAGAAATCATTTAAAAATATTTGATATAAATTTCATATCTTACCAACACTTAAAGCCATATGTAAATCTGCATCTTTATCGATAAATACATGACAAATACCTTCAGCATGACCCAAGACAGGTATTTGTACACTTTGTTGTTGTATAGAACGAACAAGTTCATTCGAACCACGTGGAATAACAAGATCAATATATTTTCCTAATTGAAGAAGATCAGCTACTTGTTCACGTGTATTGATCTAGACAAAAAAAGAGTTCTATATTTTCAAAAGAACAAATTTGAATTACCAAAGCAATTGTATCACGAGGAACAAATGGTTCTAGTGCATCTTGCATTAGTTTTGTTAAGATTTCATTTGAATATTTTGCTTCTGAACCACCTTTTAATAAAAGACCATTTCCTGAACATATTGATAAAGCAACTATTTGTGGTAAACTATCTGGTCGGGATTCAAATATAACAAGAAGAACACCAATTGGTACTGTTACTTGTTTTAACATGATTCCATCAGCTATACGTGTTTGTCGAACAACTTGTCCTAGAATATTTAATAAAATCTATTAGCAAATTCTATTCAGAATTCAAATAATGAAGCTGTTGATAGTTCAGAATTTATCTAACATAGGTTTCATTTTATGATTTATAACTTGCTGTTACTATATATCGATTAAAGAGATAAGGATCCTTCTAGATATGAAAGTCAGATTAACAGAATTTTGATCCATACTTATCCCCTATAAAAAGTTTTAATTCTTAAATTAGTTACTACATTTCGTAGTGCTAAGTAAGACGACATAGTTTTCAATGTGTAGACTCCTTCTACATCCATAGTGACAATTACTCACATAGAACATGTTCATATTCAAGCGATACATCATCTTACTGAGCACTACCGAAAAAGTACCAACAAATTTAGAAAAATTAAGGTTTTTTCCATAGGAATTAATTTAGGCAAGGAGAGAAAACTTTAAAACCTCAGCTCTCAAATGTTGATAATGAAATATGATAATCGTAACGTATAACAGTCAATATGAAAGAAAGTAATATTCCATCGAAAGGAAGTGGCAATACTAAAATGTCTATTACTGACTATGATGAATAGTTGATATAAGATGTCTGTGAAGGAAAGAGATCTAAAGACTGATCCCTATAATTCAACTTTCCATCTAAATAGTGTTTCAAAAGAAAATAAATAAGTGAATTTAAACGAACCAAGTATATCAGTTCGGTCAGCTATTTGTTGAAGACCAATTGATAAAGTTTCCAATTTTTTTTGTGATAGACCAAGTCTATTACGTAATGATTCTTTAAGACCTAAAAACAAGATATTATATATTAAGCATATCGAAAAATAAGAATTAAGATATTGTTTATTTATTTTTAATATTTCACTTCTATGTACCTTCTTTCATGGCTTCTTCTAAATCATGTTTATTTGCTTGAAGAATATCTTTTGAATATTCAATTAAATTTGATGCCATTTTATTAATAATTGTTTTTCGTTGTTCTGCTGTTAATCTTTGTAATAGTCGACTACCCTCACGAGCTAAATGAATTCGAATTCATTTAAATATTTTCTATTAAATCAACAAAAAACAAACCTACCTTTAAGAGCTTGAACATCAACTGGTATTGTTTTTATTGGCGCATTTGTAAAATATGTTCCAATTTTTTTTCCATCGACAATATTTAATATTGCTTTATCTATTTGACCATTACTTATTACCACAGCAACATTATGATCAAGTGCCCATGATGCACATTTAACCTAGAAATAAATCAATTTGATAACAGACATCGAAAATAAACCGAACTAAATTATAACGATTCGATCCCTGTTTCATCATACAATAATGCGTGTGATGTATATGATCAATTTTGAGCGTATCTGTATCTCGAACAAATAAAAACAAAAAAAAATTTTTTTTTACTTTTGATTCCATTCCTCCTGTTCCAACTTTTGATCTTGCTCCAAATGAAATTAATTGTAAATCTTGTTTCGGACAAAATGTATATAATAATCTTGATCCTTCTACTGTTGGAGGTCCTGTATATAATCCATTGACATCACTCATTATTAATAATAGATCAGCCGATATTAAAACAGCTAAACGTGCTGCTAATGAATCATTATCATTAATAACAATTTCATCTTTTGCTGATGTTACTTCAGTATCTGTATCTGTACATGGTGCAACAGCATCATTTGTATTTAATATAGGTATTATATTTAAATTAAGTAATTCATCAAGTGTAGCTTGTAAATTTTTTCTACTATCAACATTATAAAAATCAGTTTTTGTAACAAGAACTTGTGCAACACCAATATTATATTGTTGAAACATTCGCTCATAAAATGACATAAGACCTTTTTGTCCAAAAGCAGCACATGCTTGTCTTTGAATAGCTACACGACTATTTTCTAAAATATCTTTTGGTGAAAGTGATTTTCTCATTGTCATTGTCATCATAGCTTCTTTTCGAAGTACTTGTCGACCAAATGCAACCGCACCACTCGTAACTAATAACATTTGACGACCTTCATTTTGTAATTGTGATACTTGTTCAACAGTTGATGCTAAACGTCCTATGGCTAGACCATCTTCATTTTCACGTGTTATTAATGCTGTACCAAGTTTAACTATAATACGACGTGCATGTTTCATATCACTCCGACTTGATATAGGAAGAGTTTTTGAATTAATAAATCCATTTGTTTGATTATGATTTTCATTCAAAGAAAAATATGGATTTCGATATAAAGTTGACATTTTATTAAAGAAAATCTAAATATACAAATAAATTTTTTTTCTATTGCTTTTTAAACAACAAAAAAATAAGGTTTTCTCAAAGTAATCATTTGGTCTGGAAATAGACACTAAGTAAGCTCTGAGTGCAAGCAGTATATGAAGTTAAATAAACCTTAGGGCAAAGAATTTATGATGAAGCGTAATAGAGATAACACTGGCCTGTCGAGCGTCATGAAATTTGTTTTCTATATTGCGATATCTTCGTTTGAAAAGACAAATTATGTCGACCTTCTAACTCCTACGCATGAAGATCGATCAAATCCAATTGAACATGGTCAAACTATAAGACTAAATAATTTTTTTTACCTGGTAGCAGAACTTTTATGCGACTACTATATCTAAATTGAAGTCAATATTTAAATGACTGAAGACTATTATGATATGATATGTATAACGCATCATTCGAAAGTTTAGGACAAAAAGAGTCCAGTGACTGACAATATCTTTTTTTTTTGTGTTTTATCGTGTATATAGTTGAAGAGAAAAAGTAAAGTGGAGAATAGAAAAAAAAATGAAAGTGCACATAGATAAACAATATCAACATTGAAGATATTTGTTTTAATAAAACTATTATCAAACATAGAACAGAAGCATTAATATTTGTTAAAAAGAATATAATTGAATGTGGTTGAATGATGGATTAAAACAACTGTTAAATAGTCTCGTCATCCGAAATATTTCAAACAAAACACCAGTTAGAATAATAAAGTGTATTTATCTCTTAGATTCATTATTGTGAAATCAAACACAACGAATAACTCTAATATAACCACCATAAGGACTGCTATGCATTAGATGCGTCGAGGCCACAATTGATAAGATAAATGTAATACATGGTGGTTTACTATAGACATATAAAAAGTTAATACGACAACCGCACATAGGAAAGTAGTTATCTAGTCCTTTTTTTATATGGTTTTACCATTGTCTACTTTCGAGGCATTTAAAATCATGCATCGTATTTACATATACTTAGAACTAATCTAAATTAAAAGAACAATTGTGTATAATTGACTGATGTTACCAACGTACTGTACTCAATGTTTCCAACGGGTGCCTGTAAGGACATATTTTGATTCAACGTTACACATGTGTAATATAACAATCATTCTCATTGGAATCCAGCTGATCCTGTTCTAATGAAATAGTGATGCATGAAGAATAATTGACACCATTTTTTTATTGACTTATTCAGAAAGGAAAGAGCATATCATCTAATTTAAAAATACAAAAAGAAAAAAAAACAGGAGATAAAGGCAACGTATAATGGACATCAAAGAAAGTTGCATAGATAGAAAATTTTAATCGTCCTGAGATTTCAATATAATTTAATATAATACAAATATACCACAGAAAAATAAAATAATTTTTTTTCATTTTTTGAATAACGATGATCTTTATTTGTCGATGAAAATTTCTATTACCATTTTCATAATTTATATTTGTTCCTTGTGTGTACTCGTATTGTTATTTTATCTATCGGAATATTAGAATTATGACATTGAGGATTAATAGTTGAATATAGTTGATTAACTGTTTTTTTTACATGTCCATAATTGATTAATGATTTCTGTTACAATAAGATCACGACTATTTAATGAAAATAGACATGTTAGTAAAATTCCATAATCTTTTAAGGCCGCCCCCCTCCTCAAAAATCTATTTCAGCCCAGGAACGTCCGAATTAGATGAAACTTTCAGGATATGTTGGGGTTGGAAACAGAAGACTACCATAAAATTTTCAGCCCAAAAGCTTCAGGTTTCAGGGAGATATGAACCAAAAAAGGGTCAAAAATGACTCATTTGGCATCCCAAATTTTTCGGTCCTGATTCGGTCAATATATTAATATTTTTTTTTGTTGGAAAGAGCATCTCAAGGCGCAGGGCATGACGAGGCCGCTTTTTTTAAACAGTCCTTTTTTAAGCGCAAAAAATGGATCACAAGTTCAGTGTCTCAAAAAAGTATCAAAAAATGGTAGCAAAATCATATAAATGGCTGTATATTAACCAAACAAAGGCTTAATTCAAAAAAAGGGCCCGGTCATGCCCTGCGCCTTGAGATGCTCTTTCAAGCAAAAAAAAAATTTTAATACGTTGAACGAATCGGGAAGGAGAAATTTGGGATGCCTTTTTGAGAAAGTGGAAGCTGAGAAAAAACGCAAAACATTTTTTGATTTTTCAAAAAACAGCTGGTTTTTCGCATAGGGGTTGACGAAAATCTTGAACATTTTTTGGAAAAAATGAAGTAACGAGAAAAACAAATTATCGTTTATGAAAGAGCAGATGACGGGCTATCTTCCCATGCATTTATCTCAACTGTGACCATTCTGACGAAAACTGACTTTTTATGAGGGGGGGGGGGGGGGGGTGGCCTTAACTAATGTAGAACAAAGTCACGTACTTCTTGACATTCCTCTCTTGGATGAAATGATGACATTACACCAAGATCATGTTTGATAAATCGTACTTTTTCATCTAAAAAACAATTTGTTTACTTCATCACATCAGAGAACATTGTTTTCTGGGCGTGAGTACGTATGGATCTGAGTGTCTTCCTTCGCCTCTCCCACACCCCATACACCCACACCCACACCCACACCCACACCCACACCCATTATCATCCCACACCCACACCCACACCCATTATCATCCCACACCCACACCCATTATCATCCCACACCCACACCCAAAAGCTTATTGGTTCGCTTTTTCTCTATGACGGAAAAATTTCGACTTCCAACTTGAATACGTTGGTATGTGAGAACATAAGTAGGTAAGTTTTGTTTTTATAATGATATGTAATGCAAAGGAAGAATAAAACGTATAGGGGAGAACACGGTGAAAAAAACGAACACGTGCAATAACAAATGTATTCTTAAGAAAAAAATTACATTCCTTATGAAAGCGTCATATAACATTGACGCGCGCAAAGAAATATAAATTGGAAAAAAAAACAAACCATTTCATTATCAACCAATGTGTGGCACAGCTAGTTGCAAACACATACAAAATAAAACTCATACATTTCAATAGCATATGGTAGGTGACTATACTTGATTTTCAATTTATTTAAGAGACATTCCGCGAAATAATCAATTATATTTTTAAACGTGCCATACACTTTAAAAAAGGTGTGGGTGTGGGTGTGAAATTTTACTTCTCGTATGGCCGCACTCATACCCTCAGCATCTAAAAGGTAATCATCCTTCAATCCACTAGGCTATCAAATGTATCATAAGATTTAGGTATGTGAAGTCCGTTTTGTTTGTCTTGGGGCATTTAAACGTACCACTCTTTTGAGCTTTTCAAGCGCTAGCTAAGCGTTCGTTTTCATTTCTATTTTGATGAATCTTAAGGAAGACAAAGAACTACTTTATTGCGATATCTTGTCAACTGGAACAATGTATCCATTGTCACACGTTTTTATATATGCAAGTAGGAATTCGATACGCACTGAAATCAAAATAATTGTTCAATTATACTCGTTCTTTCCCTCCTTACTTTTAGCAGACTCGAATATCAAACAAGACTGACAGCAGTCAAGGACATGGACGATGTCAACTACTATCCGTAAATCACTCTGTCATATTCTTAAACTATAATCGAAATTTTCCGAAAAATGACAGTCCTTCTTTTTCCTGTTACTGACGTATAATACAAGGGGTTAGAGGACTCAGCTGCCACTGTCCTGTCTTTTCCTTTCATAGAAATGTTTGAGCTTCGCTACAAACAGTTAGCTCATGCTGTAAAAGGATTTGAGCCTCCTGTAGATATAGTGAGTAAAGGGACATTTGCTTCCTCAAATGGCATGGTCAGATGACGGAGTCTTCTACAACTTTCTTCTAGTTATGCTTCTACATAGATCAAGACATTGTAAATGGTCTGGTGCGATTTGTGAGACCTGTTATCATTAACCATTTTCTTCAGCAACTTTGTCTTACTCATTTGAGTTTCTATTCCAGCTAGAAAGTAAAACATTTTACGTTATGTTGATATTGTATTGGGATTTATGGTCAAAACAGACTGCATCTTATAGATGATAGATACACTGTGATTGCGCTTCAGATGATCGAATCATCATCAGAAACATCCATTGTGTCGCATCACATGTTGCAGCGCATTTTGGTGAGCAATCGCAACCAGCTACCTTCGTTACAAATCGGTCATAATTTTGAACGCAATGAATCCGGAAATACATCTGTGATCTGTGGAGCATAAGATAGATTATCTAAATTTTCACAATGCTAAATTTACACATTTACTGAATAGCATAAGCACTAATCTTCCTGAAGATTTCATCCATTCTTAGAAACAACAACCTATGTGACTACATTCCTGATTTTGAGATACGATATAGTGCAATAATACAAATTTCAGTAGATGAATCGGACTCTTATGAAATTTTGAGATTCCCTTCAAGGTCAGAGATGTGTAGCCAAGCCAATTTGAGCATGAATGCCGGTAAAATCAACAGCTATACTCACACTCACATCCTCATGAATTATTCTATTTAAAGTACATGTTTTTATTTATTTAGATCTGTCAACCATCAAAATGAGTAACAATAGCCATCATCGATTTACTCGTCTCGAAGATTTCCCCAATGAATTACTATTCGATCTATTTGAACAGTATATTTCGATTTCTGATTTGAAATATGGTTGGGTTGGTCTAAATCAACGTATCAATTTTATTCTAAAATCAATACAACTATCTGCATCAACTTCATCATCAACTGATCAAATGCTTCATTTTTTTAAAGATCAAATATACAGCATCGCTGTATCTTATTCATGTACAAGTTCTTTCACTGATTTTCCTAATTTACGCTCATTATCATTTCAACATGCATCCAATAAACATTTGTCTGACATACAATCAAATTTTATTTTATCGAATATTGTTCATCTACGAATGGAACTATCACCAAATATGTTAGCAAAGACATCAACTCAATTTTTGGAAACATTATTTTCCAATAAATTTAGTTCTCTTCGTAAATTATGTATATTGAATGAATTCGATTTTAGTAATTCTATAAAATTCAATTCATGGGCAGGTTCAATATCACTTCGTTCAATAAATATTATCATTTCAAATAATTTACATATTTATTCGGCTCTTCTTATTGCTTGTCCAAATTTGGTGCGTCTTCATTTAACTGTTTCATTTATAGATAGGAATTCGTTAACAACTTTTCATCATACAAATCTTAAACATCTTCAACTTCGTCTCAATACTAGTGACTGGTCGTTTGATATGTTTGAACAATTCCTCATTTGTGTACCTAATCTACAACGACTTGTCTTGCAACGATTTATTTGGAATATAGAGAAATTCAATCTCAACCTAGAAAACATTCGCTTTATTCGTATTCTAAATCAATGTTTGACTTGTCTTCATCGATTCGATTGTGATATCTTATTTCATAGTCGAGTAAACACGATTGATATTAATAACTTACGTCAGCTGCACTCATGTTTTACTCGTATTCAGATTGAACGTAAAAATGAAATTGACCGTCTGTATACTAATAACTAGCTCGAACCTATATCTATCAACATGCATTCTATAGACTTCATTTATTAAATTGTGAATTGACAGAAAAAACACATCTGTTTTCGGTTAACTATACTTTCAGAATGTTTCACATGTTTACATATCGATAGCAAATAACTCAATAATCTTGAAGCAATCAGATTTTTATTTCGCAGAAAAAAAACGGTATCTGAAAGCACATTATAGCTAACTATTGTACGCTTCAAAATGTGTATACGTTTTATTTTGCCGACTTGTCAACAAAGATAAATAATAAAGCCTTGTTTTTTTAAAGATGCGGTATCGAATTCTCTATTTTTAGGGTTATGAATGTGATTGTTGAACTTCTCTTCGTTGAGACCCATACCCACATCCAAGACAAATGTCTAAGAAAAAGATTATTACATCATCCATCAACTTGGTACTTTCTCAATCATAAGCGGATCTAGTTTGGATGACAGTCGTCATAAAACATAGTAACATCAACTCAGATCTTGATCATTAAACTCGAAAACATTGTTATTTCGACCATCATTTAGTGCATGCTCTATCATGTATTGTGGTCTCTGACGAATTTAATAGTTTACCACAAATTTTATTTCAAGGAAGCGAGTGAATGAGGATGGACTTGTACATGTGCATGAGAATGAAGAGAAAATTTCGTTTATTCCCTTTCGTAATTGTTCTTTGCTAGAGCATGATAAATATTTAGTAAAAAATAATATCATCGATGGTCGATGACGGTGTGCAATTTTTGAAAAAAAACTTTGGTTCAAACTGCTAAGATAGACGAGAAGATGCTTAGATAAAAATACATGATATCAATGAAATCAATCCAATTCAAAAGAAAAATAGTACACAGCTAAGATCTTTTCATTTTCTAGAAAGTTTACAAATCAGAAAAAATTTGCATCCAAACGCTATTTTTAGAATATTTAAGAGAAAAACGTACGAGATTTAGAATGATCCAGTAGGAAGAAGTGGAAGTTTTGCTATGATAATAGTTTCAATAAAAAAAAATGACGTCACTTCGGTTTCTATATCTACTTTATGGTCCTATATTGCATTTTTTTAATGAATTTTTTCAGAGGATGTGGGTATGAGTCAAGAATTGAATCGCATATGATTAATCATGAGTAAGTGAAGAAAAAAAAATGTATATCAGCTGTTCTATTTCAAAAAGAAAAATTCGTTTATGAAATTTTGTAACATTACAGTTAGTAACACATAGACTTTTTATTTATTTGAACTCTGACATATTATCTATTCGTCATTTATTTCAATAGTAAGAGGCAACAAAAACTGTGATTCAACCTTCGAATCACGTCGCTTAATATTGAAAATGTAACGTAGTATAAGTCGGAATGGGTATCAGAATAAAAATAGATCGACTTAGATGGTTACTTTAATTACATAATTTCTCTAAGGTATAGGTTAGTCATTAACAGCATTAAACTACCATATATAGTATACCTTCATGTTTTGTTACGACATCTAGAAATGAAGAAACTTATGTGATACGTTCTCCTTTTTTTTCTTTATGTATTCTCTTGTGTGTTATGAGTAGAATAGAAAAAAAAAGTGACGTCAAAAAGGGTTAAGAATGAGTAAGTCAACAATGACAAAAAAGTACACCAATTTCCTTTCCACGTATCTCGATCTTTCACCATACTCAAGTAATCAATTCCAGCAAGTATATTAAGAGCACAATTTTCATTCATCTTTGATCACATATTATCGTAGTCAACTGTTGAAAGCAAGAATGAGTGGATCAAATCAAGCTACATCATCCGAACAAATCAATGACGAAAATCGAAGAGGTGTAAGTGAGAATATTCTAAATTGATTAAATCGAATAGAAATTTTAATTTTTCTTTTAAAGCCATTTGCTATCGTACCCAAGTATGATTGTCCTCATTTGGGTGATAATGCTTATTTATTCCTTCAATCGACTCAACATACTGGTGATCAACAACCACCTTGTGTTGATTGTAATAAAACAGAAGAGAACTGGGCTTGTCTACATGAAACTTGTAACTATGTAAGTCATTTGTTAATAATTGAAATATATATTTTGTTGTTGTTTCAATTAGATTGGTTGTTCTCGTTACCAGCAAAAACACATGTTGAATCATCATCAAACAACTGGACATAATATTTGTTTTAGTTTCTCAGATAATTCCGTTTTTTGCTATGCATGTGATAGTTACGTTGATAGTCCTCAATTGCATAGTCTTAATCGACAATTAAATCGTGCTTCTCATTAAAATCAAACAAATAATACACACGAAACTTTCCGTTGATGTATATATATAATTATCATTTTTTTTTAAATAATCTTGATGTTTTTATAAAATAAACCGGAGGCTAGTTGGATATCTATCTTTTTTTCTTCAGTACATAAATGTGATTCTAATGAGAAACATAGATGGTTTCAAAAAGTTTTTTTTAATGAACTTTGAATAATAATCACTTGGGATATATGAAAGGAAAAACAGTTTTTGATGTATTTCTGAAATTTAAAACGAAATCAAAATAAAAATTGAATCATATTCGATATCGACAATGTTAATATAATTTAATTTAAAAAGTGAAGAATATCATTTCTTCAAACTATACTATGTTTGATGATGATTATCATTGAAAAATAGTATCACTGGATGAAAATGGACCAGGCAATCTACCCTTTGAATCAAGTTATTTTTGTTATCTTTATGTATTCTATTTATTCTATTTATTCTGATAAGAAAACGTTAACAACAAGTTTTCTAGGTTGCAACATCTTGTTCGTAGATTTTCTACAAGAAAAAACCAGTCTTACATAAAATAAAATCGCACAACTACTATAGCCTTTTTTTAGTAAACTTAGAGCAGTAAAATCAATTCTTATCTTTCATACGATTCTATAAGACAATAAAACATCAGTTTTTATCAACAGAAATTTCAAATCAAAGTTTTTTTGCAAGAAAAAAAAATTGATTAACATATAAGTTGATGTCTTATTATATTTCAACATCGTTAAAATGCAAATATTAACTTCTGTAAAACTTGAACGAATATGATCTCAATAAAAGATTACTTGGAGAAAACACACATTGAACTGTTGTTGATGTAATACGAACACATGATTTTTCTATAAAGTCTTTTACGAGATTGATATGACAAACTCCGGAGAAACAAAGGTGGACTTATATTCTTCAATAATTTTATATCTACCAGCAAAGATCGTAACATCTTCCTTACATTCGCCAATAATTCCTTAGGAAAATCTGGTATCGTAGGTGTCTTTTTTTGTAAATCCTCATAGATCTCACCTTCTCATTGACTTCCTTTGCCTCGAGCAGGATGTTGATGTCTAGGTAGTGAATACCTACACCCATGCAAGAAATATATCATGCTGTTCATATTAGTGGTCACACTGTTAGGACTTGAATCAGTTGCTTGCAAATATCTTCCTAGAAGAAAATTAAAACAAGATTCATTTTCGACAATCAATAGATCCTATTAATTAGATATTATTGATAATTTTTAATAATTTCAGTTTAATTTGAAATACTTCCTTGAAGTTAAGTAAATAGTCGCTAGTTACTCGCACTAAATCTCTGGATGTGATCATGTCAACTAGTGTTACATTGATTTTATATTTTATATGAGCTGTGAATCTATTTTATAAGTGCTGAAATATTTCGTTTTCGTCTATTTGAGTGCTGTATCAATGGGTATGTGAAAGTGGGGCAGGACTTGGATGATGGCGTAGATCTTCTCTTCACTCACTACGTCCACGCCATACTCTATATCAAGAAGACAATTGTTAATTATTGAAAAATATCGATGGCAGTTAATCGGAAACAAAATCAAACTACAAATGTACAAAATCGAGATAAACAACGATGGAAAAAATAACTCATATTATATTATACTCATGAGAATGGAATAAAACAATTTGAAAAAGAATTCTATTCATTATGAAATCAAATATCTAGTGAAACTCTTGCAATGAATCTAAGAGTTATAATTGATCATTACAATAATCGTTCCGTAAATTCTTTACTTGTTCATAAGAAACCTACTGATTTACTCATGAAAGTAGAACAAGGTATTGTATCACTAATTCTTAAAACTTGGAATAATATACAGTCCTTCTAGTTCACGAGAGCAATCTTCAGGATCAATCAATGACACATAATCTTCAACATTTGTAACTACATCGACTGATAAAATACATCATAATATGTTCTTTCCGTTGAATAAACATACCTCTTGAACATTGTATTTCTGATAGAAAAGTATCATCACAAAAATTCCGAATAAAACAATATCTATCAGATAAAATACCTATGATACTGGAGTACTCAAAAAAAAAACCGTCTTCATTTTTTCTGGATAATATATTTCTCATACATAATTGACTATTTTTAATTGTTGAAATGAAACCACCTGACGAGACTCTTCAATAAGGTAGAAACGCATCGTGACTTTCTTTCCCATGATAGACACTCACATTCCAACATATTACTTAAAAAAAAGACATATTTAGTCCTTTGAAATCACTCAATCTTTTGATTGAAAATTCGAAAAATGACCTTTGACATCTTATTTCCGATTCATGAGATAGAAAAGCTTGAATAGTTTATTTTAAAAATGGACGAATGAAGTTATTCAGAAAAAACTCTAAATCATTGGCTGATCTTCATATTGTCCTGAAGGTCATTTCTCGTAATAGCGATTGGAAGTTTCGGGTTGCGGCGCAAAGAGGGTCTTGCAGCAACTATAATATGGAAGAACATCAGCAAAAACGTGTTTTCCTTGTTGAATGATGGAACCCAATGGAGTTTCTTTATCAACTGTACCAGCACCATGCCATGGATCTGAAATCCATTGACCGAACTGATCATAACATGCTTATGCCCTGGGTCCCGTACTTTTTAATGCATTTCGGTAACAGCAGTAAGCACCAACAAGTAATGAGCATGTGTTTTTTGCTGCTTCTCAGAATCACAGGCACTATCCACCGACCATCCACCAGGCAACGTCCGTGGAAATGATGTTGGACATGACCTGGTGGCTTCGCCGTCTTAGCTAAGAGCGTGTTAGGATCACCTTGTAAGGAATGCCAGATTGCGCAGTCGATAAATCCACGGCTGGATATCAAATGGTCATTGAAATTTTCCTCGTCACTCTTCAATTCAATACCAGCGATCGATAATGCTAGCAAGAATGTAAGAAGAAGATTGGTAGCTGTACGCATTATTTTTTTTTCTACAATATGTCGAATGTCTCTCAGTCTTTTATTTTCACATGATCATGAATATCTTATCAAACGAACATATGCTACCTCAATCAATAAATTACACTACTATATCGTATGCATTGTTGATTTGTTTTTCGATCTTAAAGCATATTTATCACACGTTTTGATTCTCATGAATTCAGCTGGATGAAACGCACTGCAAAACACTTTTTCAGTGCGAGCTTTCTCGAAAAATATAAAACGCATCTTTTTTTCAAGTGTCTTTCAGAGTGTAGATTAAAAAATAACGAAAGAGGTCTCAAAATGAATGGAGAACAAAGTGTGATAGCAAGAGTTGAAATCATGACAGGCATGAAAAAAATGAATGGCATAGAAGCATTCAAAAAAATGAAACAATAGCTCGTTTTTCAATGATTCGAACTACATCATCCTTCTATCATGCAATGAAATGAAATAACTGCGATATGTGTCTTTCTAAAAAAAAGAAACTACATTTTTTAAAATGATACATCTCAAAAGAGTGTAGATGTGGATGTTGATATGGTACGGGTTAAGAGAAGACTCATACTGACTCACACTCACCGCACATTCCTTTCCTTCACCGTGCACATATCACTAGAGATATGATGTGTTCAAGTTAGCATTCTTTTCCTAGCTTTCGCTATATCATCTACCAGTATATTTGGAACTGTAAAGAAGACTCACACGTACATTCGCAGCTGAAGAGCAATCTTACTAAGAAAAATCACTAGTCGAAAATAGCGAATAGGGGTGTGGGTGTGGGTGTGGGTGTGGGGTGTGGGTATGAGTGGATGTGGGCTGTGGGTGTAGGGTGTGGGTGAGTGTCTTTTTCTGCCACTGATATTCATACCCACACCCTTGTGTCAAAATAAATGAAGACATTCATGAAGACAGATATGGAATGAATTTTTTCATACTTCAGGAATATCATTCAAATATATTTGGATAAGTTGCTGTCCACGAGAGTTTGTTTGGCGATAAGTCGAACATTAAAACATAAATCTTCTACTGTTTCAATTTTTCCACGAGTTTCCTGTTGAACACAGTAATTCGTGGATTCCAAATAACTCGTTTTTCAATAAAATATTGATTTTATGTTAAAATACGAACTGAATCAATTCCAATCAAAAAATAGGCTTAAATCATTCATATTGACGATTTGGTCCAAGAAACTCTAAGTATGAGAGTTAATTAAGAATAAAAAGAATAACGCTAAGTACTTAAGCGTATTCTAACTATAGGAACTGAACAGATTGAAGTTCTGTAAGTATTCATAGAATGAACTCTATTTCTTCTTAAATGAAATACCGAAGTCTACTGAAAACACTAGCGAACTCTACAAAGGCGGGGGAAGGCGGCGTTAAGCGCACAAATCGGCCCCCTCATGAAAGCGTTTCTTTCCTATTCCAAGTCGTCACATTCTACCTCCCAAACTCAAAAAACGTTTGAATCCAGTCTATCGGGCTTCGTTAACCAAAACACAGGGTTAGAAATTCCTTCCCGTTCACTATACAGATTTTTAGGGTGTGGGTGGGTGTGGGGTGGGGTGGGTGTGGGTGTGGGTGGGTGTGAGGGTGTGGGGTGTGGGTGGGTGGCAGCGGCGGATCTAGGATTTTTTTGATAAGGGGCGATTCGATAGACATGGGGCGATTTTGATCAAAAAGCAAGTTTTGAAGTCTATTAGTAGTAGAATGCACTCAATTTTTAAGACTTTTCTGCTGGGAAAATCCAAAAATTTTTGTTTCGAATGGGGGCGATCGCCCCAAGCGCCCCCCCCTAAATCCGCCACTGGTGGGTGGGTGTGGGTGTGGGTGTGGGTGTGGGTGTTGGGTGTGACTTAAAAGAAAATAACACCCCATCCACACCCACACCCACCCACACCCACGCTCACACCCACACTCACACCCACACCCCACACCCACACCCCACACCCACAAAACCACCCACACCCACCACCCTACACGAATTGCTATCGTTGCACCATGACAGTTTGAA